GTAGGTTCTGGTATGAAGGGATGGGCTCGGTGTTGTAGGTTCTGGTATGAAGGGATGGGCTCGGTGTTGTAGGTTCTGGTATGAAGGGATGGGCTCGGTGTTGTAGGTTCTGGTATGAAGGGATGGGCTCGGTGTTGTAGGTTCTGGTATGAAGGGATGGGCTCGGTGTTGTAGGTTCTGGTATCCATGAACAGATTGGCATAGTGGCTCCATGGATCTATTCTGAAGTATCTCTGGAGGTCCCGGGATGGCGAGCTGACCTTGTGTACATGTAACCCAGGTATGTATGTTGTATGTATGTTGTATGTCCTCCAGACGGTGACGGTCTTGTTTTGTGTTGCAGGAAGAGCAGCAAGCCTCATGAGGACATCCTCGGGATACAATCCAAAAGCCAGAAGCTGGGAATGAACAGCATGGGTCTGACCCAGAGCAAGAACTTCTTGATGAGTAAATTCTCCTCCCTCAACCAAAAGGTCAAACAAACCAACATCGGAAATCTCCGCAAGTTGGGTCCCTTTAACAAGGAAGTGAAGGGCTTCCTCAAACCCAACCTGCAGGCCAATCCTTGGAAATCCGACAGCAGCCTGGAAAATCCCGGCACAGAGACCAAAGACCACGCGGAGTCGGACTTGGAGCTCTCGTCAGACAGCGACTCCTTCCATTCCGATGACTACATTCCGAAGTCGGATGACGACGGGCTGGTCTCGGGCTCTCTAGAGAACATCGGGCAGCTGGACTATGTCCTCCCGAGCTGCGGGATCATCGCCTCTGCCCCACGCTTGGGCGGCCGGTCGCAGTCCGTCAGTAGTGCTGAGCCAAGTCTCCACCACCCTACGGAGATCCAGGTGACCCAGTGCGAAGCATCACCGGAGCAGAAGGTTCTTGTGGATTTCGGAACGCCGATCGACGCTTACTGCCACCAGTTTGTCCACGATGCCCAGACCAAAGATGGCGACTGTGCGGGCAGCGATGGTGGTAAAGAACAAATGGACCAAGTAGTATTGCGCAATAATTCCCCCCGACCATCTACTGAAGTGGAGCCGGAAATAGAACAACTTCCTCGGCCCTCCCAGCTGGAGGTGTCTGGAACTGACGCCGGCTCCCGCTTGTCTGTAGACTTTTCCGCGGCCTCGGGCCGGTCCAGCCCCGGCTCTGGCGCCTCCCCGGCCGACAGCAGCGGCAGCAGAGTTGTCTCTCCGTTCGCCAAGATCCGCAGTTCTGTCGTCCAAGTGGCAAACATCACCCAGGCCGGGCTGGCGCAAGGCATTAACTTTGCCGTGGCTAAAGTGCAGAAGTCTCCGGAGCCGACGACCGTACCGGCCCAGCTACCCAACGACTTCAAGGAACTGTTCACACAGTGTCAGACCCGCATCATACAAATCTAATGACCACCGCCGGCTCCGCCCACATATAGGACGTCACTTCCAACAATGTTTACATTTTTATCATTTGGGCTGTAGATGGGAATTCCTTCAACGGGAACGGTGAACGGACGCCGTTGTACTCTGGACCGTTCCTTCACTCTGGGTGAACCGACGTCGCACTGTTCCCGTTACCCTCGGTGAACGGACGGCGGCGCACTGTTCCCGTTACCCTCGGTGAACGGACGGCGGCGCACTGTTCCCGTTACCCTCGGTGAACGGACGCCGTCGCACTCTTCCCGTACCCTCGGTGTTGGGTTTTCGGTAGGAAAACACTGTATTTTAGTTACTATTTATTTTGTAGGTTTTTATATCCCGTTTCCTGTGGGAATCTCCTCGCGTCTCTGACCCGTCTTCCCTCCCGGCCTTGTATCTGTATCAAGGCATTAACCCCTCACTGCCCGGCCAGTAAAGTATTAGACGGACCCCTCTACACTGGAAGATCCGGGCGCGACGAGCATTCCGGGGGCCGCGGCGGTTCTGTGGTAGGATAGAAGCTTGTGTGCTCGGCGCTCTCTCTATATTCTATCTCTGGACGGCGATTTAAGATTGCGCTCCTCGGCTGCGTCCATCGGCGGCGCGTGTAACCTTTTGTGTACTTTGTGACGCGCCTCCTGTCTGTACCGGTTCACTGAAATGTATTTATTTGTCGTGTTCTGTGTCATGAAAGGGAATTATTTTAATAAAAAAAAAAAAACGTTTTAAAACAAACGGTCTCGTTTATTGGAGGACACAGCCGAGATCTTGACTCTCTCACCACTGGGTTATAGCGCCACCTTCAGGAGTAAAGTTGTAATTGGTGAGGGTGCTCTCCGCACACCTTTCAGCAGTCCCGGCCAGTAGAGATGAGGTGCTTGCAGTAACTCCCACGGATGGCACCGTGTAATGCACAAAGTAGAAAGAATAGGTTACCAGCACTCAGATTGATTTAAATAAGTCCTTTTTATTGGACATACGTGTCACAATAGTCAAACAGC